TGGATGGATGGATGGATGGATGGATGGATGGATGGATGGATGGATGGTTTCTGACCTGCAAGCTCCTGGAACCTTACATGATGCTTCCATAGGTGGCCGGCGGTTATGAGGCCACCATTTGTTAACTGAGGTTCTCCCCTGTGCAGGTTTTCCCACTCAGCCATTCCAACTGCTGTTTTTTTCTTCCTTTTTCTGCCGTTTTTCTTCTGTTTTTATCTATTGTTGGCTTGTAGAAGTGTCTCCTCTCAATGGATGAACAGAGGTTTTGGTATGTCAAGTCAACCTGTGGTTTGCTGTGCAGCCCCAGTGGTCACGGTCGGTCATATTTTTGGACACAACTCGTGGTAATCGGCCTCCCAACCGGCTGCCTCTGCTTCCTTAAATGGAAGTTTAAATTCAAGTATTAAAGTTCCTTCATGGAAGAGCTTAAATGGGATCTCACTGCTGTGGTAGTTGGGAATTCTCTGTATGCTGCCATGTGATTCCTGTCCATGCTGTTCCTGGTAATAGATTCTCCATAAGGAGCTATCGTTTTCTTCCACAATACCCTTATCAAAGCCCAACTCAAGCATGGATTAAGATCAGATGAATTTAAGAGAAGATATCTGGGATTCATGGGGTGAAATGAGAAGGACCGTTTCAGTATTTCTTCCAGTGGTCATCTTCCAGAGTTTGAATTTACCGGGGGATCGAATTGAGTTGGGAGCGCTGGCAAAGGCTCAGCGGGAGTATGAGGAAGGCAGTATTGTTTGTTTTCCATCGAAAAACGCCGGAACAACAAAGACTCACCTTTAAACACACATGGGGAGACAGTATCTGCTGACAGAGGCTTCAGGAAGGGGGGGGTTATCTCTGAACCTCAGATGTTGAGCTCTTCCTGTTTGCTTTGTCCAGTAAAAACATTCAAGAACGTTGTACCTGCGTATGCTGAGCGGAGTAGTAGCCAAGCTACTAAAACAATCCCCACCCCCCCTCCCCCAAAAACCATCCATGCTCATCTCTGATCACTGGATTTCGGCCACTCCTCATGCCGCGTTCAGCTGGTTCTCATTTTTCTGAATTAGAATTTCCCTTCGGGGATTAATGAAGTAGTGTTGACTTGAGCTAAATGCGATATCTGGACGTACCATGGGAGCGTACGTCAGTGTTTGTATGACCAACCACCATCGAGGTATAAATAAAGAGTTTGGTGAGGGGGCAAATTATGGCAGTCAACTTTCATCAGGACAAAACATCTGGACAAATCCAGTTGAAAGGCAGTTGTGCACCACTACACTATATACAGAAGCTAATAAAATGAATCTGGTGTGGCTTTTTTTTAACATTATTGACTCATAAATCTATAAACTGTGGATAATTTTAATACGAGTTCAAAAGGGCCCACGAAGCAATCAAGATTAATTTAAGGTATCTTCTTACAGTATAAAATGATCATGTAAATACTGGTTTAATCCGACTTATGCTAAAAACAGGAAAAGACACATTAGCTGATTAAAGAACCAGACAACAATCGCTATAATTTTCTGATGTTTCTGAGGGTGCCAGTGGTACAGTTCGGTACCATGCTAACAACAATAGCAAAAAATGAAAATAATAATGTAAATACGTCCAACAATTCATCTTGAAGGCGTGCAAACCGCGTTGGACTTTCATTTCTTGCATCATATGTGTCTTTGCCTCTGGCCTGTTTTGAAAAGACAATATTTGTTCATAAAATGACTTTTTCAATAACATTCGTGTGGAATATCAAGCCTCAATGGATTTAATGTGTACAGTTTTTGTACACTTCAAACAGATTGAAGTGTGTATAGAGCATATAATCTACAAAATGTCCTTTGGTTTTTGGCGGCAAACTCACAATAATTCAAGAATTCAAGTATTCAGCAGAATGAATAATGCATCCCACAAAATGCCATCTCTTGCGTTTCTTCTCTGTTTTCTGCTGTGGTAGGCAGGCTTTTAATTGAAGGGTTTTTACCAAGCTTGCTGCGGGTGTGACAAATACTCATGGGAGTTTAAATGACCTTTTGAAGTGATGAACAATCAATGAGCTTGGGCAGACCACAGGCCCTGTGGTCAGGAACTAAGGTGGAGCTGGATTCCTCAGAATGGCTGCGGAATTTGATTGTAGAACACGTCACGAGATCAGTGTTTCTCCCACTTTCCAGAAGTGCAGCACATTGACCCGTGCTGGATGTGTGGGAGCGTACTCAAAGGGAGATTACATTGTGTGATGAAGGAAGGATTGAACTCATCAGATCAGCTGAACTTTGATGCCAGAGCGAAGTTTGGACTGTTCGGGGTTTCGTGCTTGATTAAACAATGAGCCGGACAAAAAAAAAAACAGCAGTTTGTTAAAAGGTAACAAAGAGATGGACAACCTATTGGAACAAAACTAATGTCCCGAATACATGAACTCCACGAGCAAAGTTCTCTCGCCTCGGCCACCTCAGACCCTGCATCTTCATATGAAGACATTACATTTTTGTCTTTCTGTGCCATTAAACCTCATAGTAAACACAGTAAAATGCTAGTGTTTGAAATCTGAAATAAAACGGTTTCATATGTTTTATACAATGTCACGTCCTTATCGTGTAATTAAAATGTTAAAATGATGTCATTTGGACCATCACAAAATATCTAAACACTTAATTACACATTTTAAATACAAAGATAAACTAAAACCCACTGCTCCTATATGGTGAAAAACTACCTGTACCATGACAGAGTCTAGTTATTAAACTTATCAGGTCTTGCTGATCCCATAGATCTCAGAGAAAGCAAAAAAAGTGCACACAAAGATAAAAGCTTTGGTCAAAGGAGGATAAATGAAGTCTTCATACTCAGAAAGACTGAATATACATATATATATATATATCCTCCTTTATCATTCAGGGTGAACTGTTCAACGTCAAGCTAGTGGGTTTTAATTAAAGGAAAGATTATGGTCGTTTGTAAAAGAAACCACAATTCAAATGCTGGCAACAGATTCTGTGAGCTGTGGTCTCCACCGTCAGAGTCATGCCCTTTGAGCCCTCATTTATCTTCGCTGACCTCCTCGTTTAGAAGTCTCACCGCCCTTTGACAACATCAAACTACTTTGGGGGCACCAGATTCTGAGGGGCCGGTCGGTAATCCGGCCGTGGCTACTTTGAGCTTTGTTTCTGACGGGGTGGGGGGGGAACCTTTGGTTGTTTAAAGTGGCTTACGCAATGATTAGAGCTCAGACAGCACTCTTTCGGTTGCTGCTTCTTAAACTTTGTGTCGAACTGTTAAAAAAAAAGAGAGAAAAAGAGCAAAACCCCATCAAAAGCAAACTCACAGGAGCAATATTTGCTTTTCCGTCCCATTAAAATCAATTAGACAACCCTATGCTGAGTGATAGCGGCTTCTGATGACTCCCTGGGAGGAGACTGATGCTATCTTTTGTTGAAATAGGATGACCTTTTAACAAGCCACCGTTCTACTGAGGGGGGGGGGTCCCAAGCCCCAGCAGAGTCCCTTACCTCTGATGTAGGACACGGCGGTGTCAAAGAGCGCCTTGTGATCCCAGTCTGGACCAGTAGGAGGTATTTTAATGGCCGTCTGACCCATGGTGGCAGTTGTCGTCTGCCATGTCTCTGACAGGGAAACCATTGTGCCCCATTGGAAACGGGGAGAGCCAAAGTCAGCCTGTTCTCTGTCTCTGTTTTCAAGCCCGACACAATGGTAATGTTTGAGAAGCAGATTGGAATAATCACATTAATTTCAGCCTCCACATCAGAGTGGTTCTGCGTTGTATTCACGTGCCGTAGGATAGTGCCGGCATGCCGCTCAGGACACCTCAAAATGAGGAATTCTGTATCGGTGGAATGCGGTGGACTTTAGGGTGGAAGAGAACTGCAAATGGTTTAAAAGATTAAGAGAAAAAGGGTGATTTTCCCCTCTGTTTTCATGTTAGAAAATAGTATGAAATCATCATTTTCACTAGACAGGTAAAAATAAACCAGTTCAAAAAAGTGTTACCAATCACTTCCCTGCTTTAGATAAAATCTGGAATGTTGCCCTTTAAAAAATCATCATCCTGCCTGACAGTGATTTTTGCTCATGCCTTAGTTTAATGTTAAGTTCTAAGGGGATATAAAACTTGTTTTTTATTTGAGTTTTTTAAGTTTTTAGTTTTTAATTATGTGAATTTATTTTTAAAAACAATGCAAAAGTAGAAGTTTTTTAACGTTTAACACTTAACATGAGGTTTCTCTCTCTCTCTCTCTCTCTCTCTCTCTCTCTCTCTCTCTCTCTCTCTAAGTCCTTTCATTGACCATCAGCTTTCAGCAAATATGGTAAACAAATGATCAATAGGTCCACCAATCTGCTGCACGGTGTTCTGGCCCTGACGGGTGGCAGTGCAGTCATCTCCAAGACCCTCAATCTCTCACTAATTAGGCCGAATGATGATGGAACAGTGATGTTCCAACCTTTCCTCTAAATATATTTTCTGTAGATTTTGTCACTGTCTCAGTGGGATTCTTAACTTCGCAACCAGTCAACGCGCACCAGCGGTCCACCTAACGGACAGCCCAGCTCTCGTTGGCTGCGCGCTCAGAGGCGTCGCCGTTTGTCATCGAGCATCGTGCGTCTTACCCCGGCGTCTCCTCCCCTCGTAGAGACAGCTGTGGACCGTGAACCGTGGAGGTCTGACTACCTGGACGCAGACTTGAAATTGGGCGCGCATCGGCCCGCGGACACAAGGAAGCGAAGCGTCTCTTTTAAATTCAAGATCCAGATCCGACATGGGGAGCTTACCTTTTCGCAGTGTGGTTTTACTGGTGATACTGGAGCACAGCGGGGCTCTCCTGGCCGCGGAGGGGGACGATGGAGCCGCGCACGGAGGCGCAGAGCGGCGCGTCTTTGCGCACGAAAGAGCGAAGCGGGACGCGGTGGCCGCCAACATGTTGAAGGTGTACGAGAAATACAGCAAAGAGCCGCAGAGCCAGAAGGAGGGAAACACCGTGAGGAGCTTTAAAGCTTTCCCGAGTGAGTGACCACCCAGCTGTTATTTCTTCCTCCGACAAAGTTTAAGAGTTGAACACAAAGTTTTGAGAAGCTTCAGACCGCTGCGTTAAAATACCTCCTCTTATTCACACAGTTTTGATCAACTTAAACTGTTTAATTTTTAATTTTGCTTTTTCTTTTTATTCAAAAAGCAATTTGTCTGTTTACCGTTATAAATATTTTAGGAATATGGTTGCTAGTTGTCTAAGTCCCATCTGAACTGATGCATTTAATGTAATACAAAACTTTTTATATTTATAAGCTATCAAAAAAATGTTATAAATACTGGTATGTTGCCTGTTTATCTTAATTAACACCATGTAGAAAACCCATATAGTTTTGTCTTAAAGAAGATCAATATAAGGCAGTAAGTATATCTCAAACCTTAAAGGTCCAAGATAAAAAAAAAAAGCAAAAATAAGACCTTTAAGAAAAGATCTGATCAGTAATATTTCACCATCCTAAACATTCAAAGCACAGGTGTTTGGTCAGCCTCACAGCAACCCCTGCTCCCCTCGGGCTAAATGTCTTCACCTCTGTGCTCCGTCAGTCTTGTGATTTAATGAACTGGGTGGGTGGGGGTGGTGGTGGGGTTTAAAGAGTCAAACGCCGTTCGTTCCCCAGTAGCTGTAACAGCCTAGGTGTTAGACAAGAGCCTATTATCGCAGCCAGACACCGGCTGCACGGCGAAAGAAAAAAACCTCAGAGGAGCTCTTTCTCCAGTAAGCGTTTCCATATGGCCGCCACAGACCTGCCGGACCGACACGGTGTTTGTCTTTCAGGCTGGGGTGGAAGTGCGGGAGACGGGGCTGAAAACTTCAAGAGTATTGCTATCTGGTATGAGGTTTTTTAGACGCTTAACCGGGAAGCCCTTAATAATGTCCATGCCGCTTCTCAGACCTGTTGGGCAACATGCTGCGTGGGATGTGTTAAGTTATTTTATTTCAGTCAAACCTGACAGGATGAGATGATTAAGGGGAACAAAGATAAGGACGGGTTCAGGGAAAGTATTCAGATGTTTTAGCACCTGTTTTTATAAAGGATATCGGTGTATCTGCAAGGCGGAGGGGAGTCTGGTATCTCGGTTGATGGTCTTTTATAGCCTCATGGTTTCTCCTGATTCCTTCTAGGAGTTTCACACGACAAGGAGGTGTTCCAGTTCAACCTGTCCTCCATCCAAAACTCTGAGATCATCCTCTTTGCCTCTTTCCACTCTCTTTACAAGCGGCCCCGCCACCATCAGAGACCGTGGCGCTTCCGGAGGCCCCACCACCCGTCCGGCGCCCCGCAGCATCCCCGTCCGGCCTCCTCCCGGCTCTCTTTCTACGGATCCTCCCCAAGCGATGCTTTCGCTTCGCCGCTTGGAAACCTGACCCTGGCGTCTTTCAGGAAAGGCTCCTGGCAAACGTGGGACGTAACGGCCCTGGTCAAACACGCCAGGGCCGTGAACGAGCTCGCCATCGCGGTAGAGATCGAGGCGGGCTTCGAAGCGTCGGCGTTTCAGCAACGAGGCGCTCAGGGACAGGAGCAGCTCTCTCCGGCCAACCTGCCGTACATCCTGGTCTATGCCGACGATCGAGCCATAGACGAGCCCAACAGCGTGGCCTTGTCCCTCCAGAGGTACGGACCTTTCCCCGGGGGAGAGGACCTGTCCGCCTCGGCTTCGCGGGTCCGCAGGGACGTCCAGATTCAGAGCAACAACATCCCCGAAGTCCATTTCAGCACCCTGAAAACCCACGAACTGTGGCAGAACACCTATTTCCCGGCCAAATCCAAAGCCACCGGCAAAGGGGGCAGGAAGCCCGGCCAAGTGAGCAGCGAGGGCGTCGGCAAGCCCCAGGTACTGAGCTTTGACGAGAGGACGATGAAGAAAGCCAGGAGGAGACAGTGGAGCGAGCCCAGGGTTTGCTCCCGGCGCTACCTGAGGGTGGACTTTGCGGATATCGGTTGGAACGAGTGGGTGTTGGCACCCAAGTCCTTCGACGCCTATTACTGCGCCGGGACCTGCGGATTCCCCATACCTAAAGTAAGCCGGAGAGTTCAGTTTTACGTCAATGCCACACAAGGGTTTTATCTTACAATAGCTTATCTGGGTAATGGCTCCTGGGCAGTTCTACACACCCTGAACACAGATGCTGAGAACGAGGGTGTCATTGAGGCAGGAAATGTGTTCGGGATTGATAAATGATCTGAAAAAATATTTGTACTGCATTCACAAACGCTACCTGTTTTTCGACCCAAAGCCAAAATAAAGGGAAAGAAATACAAATGAGGGCAGCACGGTGGTGTGGTGGTTAGTACCGTCGCCTCACAGCAAGAAGGTACTGGGTTTGAGTCCGGTAGGACCCAGGAACCTTTCTGTGTGGAGTTTGCATGTTCTCCCTGTGTCTGCGGGGGTTCTATCCGGCTTCCTCCCACCATCCAAAAACCTGCATGTTACGTTGATTGGACATTCCCAATTGCCCTTAGGAGTGAGTGTGAGTGTGCGTGGTTGTTGGTCCTTGTGTGTCTCTGTGTTGCCATGCGATGGACTGGCGGACTGTCCAGGGTGTACCCCGCCTCTCGCCTATTGACCACTGGGATAAGCTCCAGTTCTCCCCGCGACCCCATTAGGGAATAAGCCATTACAATAATGGATGGATTGAATGGATGGATGGATTGATGGATGGATGGATGGATGGATGGATGGATGGATGGATGGATGGAT